ATGGAAAACTAGCACTAAGGCTTTGTTAGAATGACAACACTGTTGTTTGAATAAGTTGAACAGAGCCATAAGATAACACTCCTTTTCTGCTGACATCATGTGTCTTTTTTTCTTTCTTTTTTTTTTTTCATTCTTCAGTAAAATGCTTGTCCATAGGAATCTCTTTTTTAGCTTATGGTTTCTTGTACATCCTAAGCAGTCTTTCATTTCAGTTAAATTCCATCAGAAGAGAAAAGAAGCAGAAAGGTTTAGAGCAATTGCTTCTTTCACTTTGCCACTAAAGATCGAAGTCACTTTGAAAGAACAGCATCTGAAACTTTCCAATTTCCTTTTTTAGCACTATAATATGGAAAATAGAAACAGGAAACAGAATTAAATTTTGGGAATATCTAATTAATGTAGAAGAAAAGAAAAGCATATATGTTGGTGGTTAAATACTGGTATGGTTGTATATTGAAGAAATAATGCTGTCACTGGTTGCAATCAAAAATTCGCATCAAGTGCTTCATGTTTTGTTATGGTCTTGCTTCCTAACAAGCAGATGCTTGAAGATGACTGGCAGTGCTGGGTGGGTATGAAAAAAAAAAAAAAAAAAAAAAAAGGCTAGGATTAAATCCTAAGTGTACCCCAACCCCAGCTATTATGGGAGAGAGGACAGATAAAGGGATTTGCTGAAATGGTTTTACTTAACTCTGACCAACTTCAAAAGATGCTGCTCTTAGTTTTATGCCATACTTGATGACAGTGCCATCTATTGGTATGCAAAGAGTATAAAAGATCATTGACAAAGAAATTTTTTTTTTTTTTTCTATGACATAAACCTTTGCTCTACATGGAAATTCATACTTTAAAAAGGATTAAGATCTTAATTAGAATGCTCCAAAATAAATAACTATTTTATTTATTTATTTATTGACTAACTTTATTTATCTTAAGTGGTATTCTCTTTCTTTCTCTCTCTCCCTCTCTCTCTTACTCACACACACGTTCTTTCTTTTTTTTTTTTTTCTCCTTTTTCTTGGCTCATGCATAGATTTGCTTATGCATGAGCCCCTCCACCCTTTCTTTGGCCTTCCCATTCCCAATATTATTCAATGTTTCTTATTTATTGGAAGACCAGGAAATAGATTACCAATAAATGTTTCAATATTATTTGCAGCCATAGAAGCAAAGGGGAAGGATAAGGGAGAGGAAGGACAGTAAAATCAGCAGGAGTGAGTTGGGAGTTGCTGATAAAACCTAAGTTTCAGTATTGTCTCCAAGAGAGAAAGAAAGGAAGTGTATAAAGAAACAAATATTGGAAAATGAGAGAAGAGGTGGAGGGAAGCTGGCAGAGAAGAACCACTGGATAAAGTGTTGTATGTATGTGTGTGCGTGTGTTTGTATGAGTTTCATGGTTTTATGAATATTCATGACCTTATCTGCTTGTTGCTCATCTCCCATGAAACGATCGATGGCTCCATCGATCGATGTGATGAGGGCTTTGGACTAATAAGGCATTTAATTGCATCGTTGCTTTCCCTAGTCACAGAACATTGGTAATTTGTGTGGAATTAATGATTTGCAGTCAGTAAAGGGAGGAGGTGGTGAAAATAATGATGATGATGATGATGAAAAAAACACAACGAAAACTGGATTGTGTAAGTTAATGTTGAAGGATTGTTTGTAATTATTTAACCTTAATGTAATTTGTTCCTTATAACATAGAATTTGTGTTGAACGAGGCTTTCTTTTGGGGTTCTCTTTGATGGATGCTCATCTGTGGCACTCATTGATTCAGCAAAATGTCTACATAATTTTGCCAGCTGTGCACAAGCCACAGACATCTTGACACGTGTTCTTAAATCATGTTCTCACAATCAATGATACATTTTATGTATTTACTCAATTCACCATTTGTTGCATTGTAATGGATTAAAACTCTGAATGGAAAATTGGAGATCTGGGTTCGAATCCTAGTTGGGTTTGTTACATTCACTTATGCACGAACAGCTTTGGGAACAATATGAATCCATATCTTCTCCCTCTATCTATGGATCAAATAGCAGGACAAACTGGATCCTATAGCCTTGGTTGGCAACGAGTCTACTGTAGAAAGAAACAGTAACCTACTGTGGGAAAATCTGCTTTGTCAGTCATGAATCAAGAGACTTGATTGGCCAAGCCTGTATTCAGTACAGCATTTAACTGACTGATTCAATTTACTAAATCTAGCTTAGTATGACACAAGGCCAATTTTCTTCTAACTAGAAAATCAGGATAATTTGGAGTTTTACATGGGATTTGAACACGATCACTGGCACTGGTGGGAATTACAGCTATTCCAACCATCAGAGAAGCCATGCCTTTGTGTGCTCTACATACATTGCCCATGCCACTTCCATTGAGTTGAATCATTCTCATTTTCTTAGTATTCCAAATGTAAGGAAAATGTTCCACATAGGCAGTTTATTCCCAAGAACTGCTACTTTGTAGGACAAGCTCTCATGTTTATGCATCCCTGAACACTATACTCTTAACCTGTTCAAGTCAAGGGTCAATTATTATCTATCCTTTATTCATCATCCTCTTTCATTCATATAACACACTTCATTCAGTAACCCTCTATTTTGAGTTATTCTTGAGCCTTATATTAGGTGAAGTTTAATTAAAAAAAAAAAAAAAACTGGGGTGTCTTTCTGACAATCTTACCACAGATACCTTTCTTTTATTCACAGGCATAGATCTTATTCTAGACAACTGCAATAAAAATGAATATCACACACGGTAAAGTCACAAAAATGTTTTACTTTCCCTGTTCACATAAATTATGTCTGCACTAAACTGTAGTCTGTTAAGTGTGCAATAGGATCTTTAAAAAATCTACATACCTTAATTAAAAAGTATTTTGTTGCTATTAAAATGTGACATAAGCACACAGTGGGAAAATGCACTTGGCAAACATAGTCATAATGTCAAGAGACTTGATCAGTGCAGAATGACTACAAACATTTAGGATGTTTTTTTGTTTTTTTTTTCTTTTTTAAAAAAAAAAAAATGTACAGTGTTTGCAACACAGAATAAAATGAGCTCAAACATTTGGTCAGTGTTCAAGCCCAGTTAAAAAAACAAACAAAAAAGTTGATTTCAAATATACATTTTCAAAGCAATCAGTCTGGTTCGCCACTCTTATAATATTTATTCCTCCTCCAAATTGACCTTGTGCCATATTGAGCCAAGTAAATGTTTGTGTCTTTATTTGACACAAATACAGAATGTCTTTTATCTTGAGTTGAAATGCTCAAATTTTCTTGACTTCATAGAAAGTTTTTGATGTTGGCAATTGATAGTTCAGAAAATTATTTATCAAATTTGTCAGACAAAATTCTTTTTATTTTTTTTCTGGTGAAGTGTTGGGGGGGGTCTATTAATACTGAAGATTGAAGTTAACATAAGAATACAATTTTTTATCTAAACTTCTATTATAATAGCTGGAGATTGGATCTTTCTTTTTTTTTCTCTCTCTCTCTCTCTCAAACTCTATCCAAAAGTACTACTAGTTAAGCTGATGCAAATATCACAGCTTAGTATCTTGTAGTTGGCAGTAATAGTATACTAATAATATTCATCTTCTCTTGATTTTATTAAATTATAGTGTGACATCTCACTTTTAAATAGAGAGTGGGGGGTGTTAGTTTTTTTGAGGTGCGGGGGTGGGCAATTTGTCATTTGACATCTCTTGGTGATGTCTGTTTTTAACTGGCTTTATGTTCTTTGCTATCTATCTGGTTTAAGTAATCATAAAAACATTTATTGCATGATCTCTTCTTATACATAATAGGCAGTGACTGTGATCCAATATTGATAGCCTGCCATCTTTATTTAGATAAAAAAATGAAAGCAGGAATTGAATGATTATTTTAAAGTTATATGATCAAATTAAAAAAAATATATATATCTCTAATAAACAATGAAATACAAGGGGTGGGTGCCGTAAAGTTCTTAGCATCACTCACCAAAATCTGACCGAAGATTAAAATTTGTTTTGGTTGTGCCAAGAACTTTTCATCACCCTCTTGTATTAAGCTTTATTAGAAAAATTTAAAACCACAAATAGATTTTAGGGAAACACAGCAGTCATTATAGCAGCCAGTGCTGGATGATGGCACACTTTTGTCATGAAACAAACAATATAAAAAGTAAAATAGAACCCAGGGGCCAAATGGTCAATAGACAAGGTTGAGGGTTGTGGAGGATTTGAAAATCAACCTGCCTGCTTGCCTTTGTCTCTTTTCCAGATCTTAGCAACTATGATGGTGTTGGCAGGCAGAGATGGATTTGAGAGAGTTGTCTTGTTGTTGTAGGTGAGCATTCATCTTGGTTGTCTCAAATCGACAACAGAGAAAGGAAGTTCTTTGTTGTAATCCAAGCTTCTTTCTCAAACCGCTGTCAGAAAAGTATAACACTCAGAACAGGTTCAATTTCAAACATTTATATACAAGCAAATGTTCTTCATACAAATATTTCTTCTTGGGCTCTTAGATTTTTTTCTCTTTTTTTTTTTTTTCTTTTTAAATTTGCTTTCTGAGCTGAATGAAAGGATTTTAAAAGCAACTTCCAAGACAGTGTGACAGCTAAGTGTTTTGTATTATTAAAAAAAAAAAAAAAATAAAAGCAGATATTGATGTTGATACAATTAGTTTATAATTATTTTTTCCACTAACAAAATTATTGATTGCTTGATTTGTTTTTCTGCAGCTTATCAACCCTTTGTAGGTTATTTAAAGGCAGAAAAGTTTTTGTTTAGCTTGTAAAATTTATTTTTTTTTTTTTTTTTATAATGGTTTAATGATACAAGTTTTACTAATTAACCCATAGCTGGGAGGAGTAGAGATGGGTTCATGCATTTCCCAAGGGTATTTGTGCATAAGTGAATATAATGAACCCAACATGAATTGGAACTTTGCTTTCCGATTAGCAATTCTGACCTCTTATCCATTACACCCTATGCACATCCAAACTTACAGCACTTGGTATTCCCAAGTGGCCACCCACCTAGGTACTGACCAGGCTCAACATTGCTTAACTTTGGTGATCATAAGGAGGTGGAGTGTTTCAAATGTGATGCCTGGTTATAACCTCTAATGACCTTATAAGAGCAATCGGCGGGGTGGGGAGACCACCTGTATGGATATATGTTTAATGTAATGTTTGAAAACTCATAATGTCATTAAACATTTTGTATTGCATATATAAACATTCTTTGGTCATAATATGGAAGTTGTTGAAAATATAGAAACTGAATAGGAAATGTTTTAAATGAAAAGGATATTTGAAATCTGCAAGTGTCATTGTGAAATCTTTTGTCAAAAGTGCAGTATTTAGCTGAAACAAAATATACAAAACTACTTAATGGGGGGGGGATATTAAAGTGGAGTACATGATGACACTTAAAAGAAATTATTTGTATTAAATCATTCTTCATCTGGAAGCAATGAAAATACATTACTCACTTGGCAATATTTTGCCTTGTTTTGGGTATTGTGCTTTGCAGAGAGTTAAGCAACAACTTCCCTCCTTGTTCTCTCTCTCTCCATATATATATATATATATATATATATATATATATTATATATATTATTAAAAGGCAAGAAATTTTTTACTATAGGCCATGATAAATTTTAAAACAAAAACAAACACAAGTCGGCCTGTTTCATCCCCTCTCGTCAGAACTGTAAACGGGGAAACAAATTATGAGAAGAAAGTCTGTTGTGGATGACGTGAATGAATGGACAGGAGAAAAAAAAAAAAATTAATAATAATAGTTAAAACACCAAAGATGCTAGACACACAACACCGCAAGCCCATTCATTCACGTCATCCCAGACAGACTTTCTTCTCATAATTTGTTTCCCCATTTACAGTTCTGACGAGAGGGGACAAAACCGGCCGACTTGTGTTTGTTTTTGCTTTAAATATATCATGGCCTATAGTAAAAAATTTCTTGCCTTTAATGCCATAATACGTTTTGTACCATTAAAACACACACACACACATATATATATATATATATATATATATATATATATATATATATATATATAGTTTTAAGGTATGTTATATTTAGGGGTAAAAATGACCTGGTTACATTCCTGCTTGAAACAGACTATCATCACTCAGTATTGAACTTAGTGTCTACTTGTGTGTGTGTATAGTAGCGACAGTCTGTATCATGCTTAAACACAATCTTTGGGCCATCTGTCTTCATATATATGATAAAGATTACATTTAAGCATGATACAGACTGTTGCCAATAAGTATTGACCTCAATGTCCATTTTTTTATATTTACATATGCTTTATCCCTGATATTGAGCATTTTAACCCATAAATGTAGCAAACCATAAAAGTATATTTTTATCATATCACATTATGTATGTATGAATTCATTTCAAAGAATTCATGGACATTTTTAATTTGACATTTTTATTACTTGAAAGGTTATTTTTAGTGGATACCAATGTTTAGATAGGTACCTGGTTTAAGTAGTGTGTCTTATGGCTACCTACTGAAAAAAGGGGGAATAGAACCTTGCTGGGCTATGGTGTTTTCTGTGATTGAGCTGTCTAAAGCATATTGGATCAAATGGGGGTTTCTCCTAAGAAAGGGTGATGCAAGTTTGAACTCTGACAGAGGGCACATTCTCTTTAAGTTTTCTTGAGTGGGTGTGCAGCAGGCCAAAGAGCATAGGACAGCCATTATTTAAATTAATCGGGCATGTAATATATATATATATATATATATATATATATATATATATATATATATATATAATAAAAGGAAAGAAGATAAGCTTTGCAACTGATGATGTGTGTCATAGGCATTTGTATCGATTTGTTGTTGTGTGGTGAAGCAAGTGAGCAAAAATAATGAAATGGGCTGACAACCCTCTTGACAAGCAGCTAAGCTGAGAGAGGTGACACTTAACAGTGCTACTTCGTAGCTCCTCACTCAAGAAGTGAGGTGGACATGATTCCTATCATGATTTGTGATTATTTATTAATGTTTGAACAGGTGTTTCAGCTTTGCTTTGATTTCTATCCCAATTCTCATTGCTTAGGGAATTGGCTCTCAGCTCTCTTCCTCAGAATTGCCTGTAGCTTTGCAAGAAGGCTTACAGACTTGCTTTACTTGAAGCATCCATATTGGATATTTTGCAAATGATTCTTCTCCCTCTATTGCATGCTTTCTACACCAACTTTTCTTTTTTCTTTATTTTAATGATAACCCTGTTGGAAATTTATTGTTTGCAATTTATTGTCTTTCTTGCCTCATAAGGAATGGTTAAATTATACCTGCAAAATGCATTCTTTAATATCTCTATTGAAAATTTTATCTCCCCTCACACAACTTCTTCCCTGGTGCCTCCTAATCTCTCTGATAAGAGACAGTGGTTTACTCAGATGAAGGTAGGAAAATGATGCTGTATCAACCTTTCAAATAGGATGCTTGAGTATTTTCACTCTTGTCTGGTTTCAACTACAAGATATTTTACAAGGCTTAACATCATGAGACAGAAGTAAAGACTGAATTCTGTACATTATCAATCGGACCAACTTATTAATCATTGTCCTATAATATAGCCTGGCATAAGGCTATAAATGTGGTACAATAAAACTTAGTACACTAGCTATGACACAAGCATTATATATATATATATATATATATATACACACACACACTGTTTATACATATTTTTTTATGTAAATTATTTACTTATTTAAGTAAATACTCTGTTCTTTAAGTAAACAGTATTAATTACATTTACTGGTGTAAATGTTTGAGAAATTTTATAGAAAATATGCGTTCTCTGACTGGAATCAAACCTGCATCCTATGAGGAACCACCTTTAAGCCTGGCATGCTATAACCATTCAGCCTGGAAAATTAAAGGTTTTATATACATTTTTGCTGATCTTTCTTGATCTATCATACCTACTCTGAATTTGTATCCTAATGTAAGCAATGACAATATATCATAGGAAATGGATTAAATCTGACAATTAATATATTTTCTGTTATTTTTTATGGATACACTTATTTAAGTAAATGCTTTACTCTTTAATTAAACAGTATTAATTACATTTACCAGCCTGAATGTTAGAGAAAATTTCATAGAAGAACAGAGCATTTACTTAAATGAGTGTACCCATAAAAAATGTATAAACAGAAAATATATTAAATAATTATCGGATTTAATCCATTTCTTATGATCTATATTAATAGTGTGAATATGGAAATTAATACCACATAGTGAAACTGTAGTTTCATGCCTTCAGTGATCATCAAATTTTGTATGGCCTTTATTGTACCCACACAAAGAGGAGTAAAATATGTTCTGATGATAGGTTATGGTATGAAACTGTCAGTCACCATGCAGTGTTAATTTCTATGGCCATACTGTTTATGTCTCCAAAAAATACAATGTTGATATCTTTTTCACCATAAACAGAGCAAAGCTTAAAGTGTCTGTGTGAGAAGAATATTGTCCTCTTTGTTTTCCTTTTTCTCAAACTTATCTTTTCCAGTTTTCTTCTGTTTTTAGCTTATTTCCACTCTCTCCTCTCCCTCTCCCATCTCATCAAGATTGACATAGTCTCTTTCCTTTTCTCTCCCCTCTGTCTTTTTATTATTTTTTTTTTTTTATTGGTTCTTTCTTATTCCCCCCTTTATCATGTTTTAAGTGATCTTCTTTTCAGCTCAACAACGGTAATGCTTTAAAACCTCTGACAACTGCTCTTTCTCATTTCTTCCCATCATTCCTTATACCTCCCAGCTTTTTTCCATTCCACTTTATTCCTATTGTAACAGAGGAACATGAGTATGTGTGTGTACTATTGTCAAGGTGTATACAGTCTTTCTCTCCCACTCCACTTTCTTATCTCATCATTTGTTGGGTTTCTTTTTACATCTTTGCTTACACATTTCAGCCTTCTTAAAAAGAAAAAGAAAAAAAAGGGGGAAAAATAGGTTTGCGTTTGTGTGTGCGTGCATGCATGTGTTTTCTGAACAAACAGACACATTTGTCATCAGTGATATGCAGTGGTTGTGGAAATGGGCTGGTCTTTTTTTTTTTTTTTTTTTTCTTGGTTTAACTGCTGCATCTGTCATGCCCACATCTTGGTTTTCTTGGAAACCCCCCCCCCAAAAAAAACAAAAAAAAACTGGTTTTGGTGGTTGTTGCAGATTTGAGGCGGCACACAGTGTTCATAGATACAAAATGCTTTTCTCTGTCATTCATCAACAGAGATAGGATGCCATCTCATAGATTCACAATCACTTATTCTCTCACTTTGCCTTTCACATGCTTATTTGATCCTATGACCCTAATTTTATACACACACGCATATTGTAAAGAAATGAATTTATGAAATGGTCAGTCACTGTACCAACTGTAATCTAACAGCAACATAGCTGATTTTTAAAATGTCAGGGATCCTCAGGTCTTTGGTGCTTTGATTCTTGAAATACAAAGTGAACATCTTTGATGGGAATGAGAGATTGAACAAGGAATGAGGTTTCTCTAATCAAACAAAGAAACTTGTTTCATGTGACCATCTCCAACCTTTATTCTAGGACAGCACGGTCAAAGTGAAATCTGATATCAGTCATTTGGTAGTCAAATTTTCTTTAAATTTTTTTTTTTAATTATATATATATATATATATATATATATATATATCATATTCACAGTACTTAGTGGAAAGTAATCAATATCAGTAATAGAGCTAAAAGCATAAATAAATCCAATTTTTAAAATAATAAACCAGTTTGTCTGATGATCATAAAAGCAAGAAACACAGGGTCACAAACTACTATCCATACAACTGAAAAATATATATATATATATATATATATATATATATATATATATATATATATATAAAAAGCTAATAAATTCATTGAATATAATCCAAGTGGATCCTAGTAATATAAAATATTAAAACTGATCCACAAAAAGAGCTGAATGTATTATTACAGAGCAAATAATTGGTACACAATAAGTACTATTCCCCATATGAGGTAATTCGGGATTTTATTGTGTACTAATATATATATATATA